GCAAGGATTATTTCTTAAACTAAAAAACAATGCCATATATCTAATAAGATCAAGATTCATTTCGGGTGCACAAAATACTTTAGATACAATTTCTTTTATTAGTTTAAAACTTTCAATAAACCGTGATAGCTTGATCCGTGATAAGGCGTCATTTTTAAAGACACATCAGATAAATTTTTAATAGAATTGTGTTTCAAACGTATTATGCTTTTATAATTGCATTTAGAAGAAGAACATATTAACATTAAACCCATTCCGTGAAACGTTCTTTTTCCGATCAATGCGCGAATGTTGTGATCTCCATTGTCAGCCATCCAATGTAGGAAGTTCGGCTCTTATTCTTGCGCAACATTTACTCTACTAACTGCAGCAAATAACTTGAACTTATTGTTATTATTTTACATTTGTTGGTCGTATTACAACTATATATTGCTTAAAAAAAAATGATAATAATAATAAACTTTCACAAATATAAAATAAGGTATCTGAAAGAAGATCAAAGGATCTTGTCGTCAGAACCTTAAATAAGTTCAAACAAGCATTAACAGTATCAAATTTTTACAAATTTCATATATATACAATCCAAATATATATTATATAATCCATATTATATCCGGTATTGATGCTATCATATATCCGGTATTGATGCATAAATTTTGGTCGCAAAGCTTAACCAATACTATGTCCTAAACTAATTTGTTGAAGTTTTACAGAAATTAAATCGCTTAGGAATATCTGTAAACTCTTTGGAACCCATTTGAGTCCATATTCAAATCACCCATATTAGTTCCTTCCTCTAACCAGAAACAGAGTTTTTCAAAATTTTCAAACATAGTGAGATCTAATCGGCGTCCGCGTTGATTATTGGTTTTAGTTTTAAGCCTGAAGTTGTTCATACAAGAAATATGATAGATGGCTTCTTCCGCTACAAAATTATAACAAGACATCATACAAGAATGTACAGCATTTCCCCAATTATCCGCTCTATTCAAATAACGTTCATTTGTTTTGTTAATCAATTGTATGGTCTCAACTTGAGCAATGTTTAGGTGAATTACTTTGAATTACAATAAACTTTAGGTGAATGTTTGTGGTCTACTTTTTTATTACAAAGAAAACATTTTGATTTCCAATCAAGTACCTGAGAATCATAGTTTCTTTCTTGGTAAAAATAATGATTGATCTTTACAACAGTCCACAAACTTTCTTCTATGATGGACTAGTGCTGTTGTATTTTTAGTGGTTTTTTTAGTATTGTTGCTTGTTCTGTTGCAGCTGATCTTTGAGATAACTAAAAATGTGCAAAAATAACTTATCTGGTATGTTTTCATATACCAAACCTATTTTTAATAAAAAATAATTTTATTTTTCAATTATACAAACAAACATATGTTGGATTGTATAAATAAATAATTAGAAATGATTCAACAAAAGGTCATTAACAACTTATAGTTATTATGTGCAAACTGAAGTTTTAACAAACTGCGCGAAAAATCTTTTAAATAAAATTGTTTATTTAAACAAATTTTAACCTGCATAGTTCATTCGAACTGCGTTCTTCGTTTAATCGAATCAATGTTTTGAGACCTTTTCCATATACTTTGACGTAACTTTGTCAAAGCCAAGCTTGCACAATACACAAACAGTACTAATTTTTTTCTTTTAAAAATGTAGAGACTTACTACATGTAACAATTAACGTTTCACATTTTAGTTTTACATTTCAATCAGACGCAAACTTTTTTTGTAGTTAAACTAAATAACTCCATTTATACGAAAATGTTTCATTGAAAACAATTGTTATGAAAAGAAACGATTAAGTTTTTCGCTCTAAAAAGTTATCTTTTGAAAACAAAAAATCTAATGGTGTGCAAACATGCAGATATTGGTAGTGAATATGAAGACAGTACTTCTAAACAGCAACAGTTCTCCCAGGAAGAGATCAATGATTTAGTACAAGACTTAAGTCTATCCAAGCAAGATTCTGAGCTTTTAGCATCTAGACTAAGTGAAAAGAACAGTTTGAAGGCCGAATGTAAAATAACTTTTTTTCGGACAAGAGAGGCAGCACTTCTTCCATATTTCATTCAAGAAGAAAAAATAGTATACTGTAGGAACATCCCTGGACTCCTCCTCCAAATGGGGTTACCTGAATACCGACCAGAAGATTGGCGATTGTTTATAGATAGTTCGATGAGAAGTTTGAAGTGTGTTTTATTGCACAATAGCAATAGTTATGCATCCATCCCAATACTTCCACAACAAAACTGAAAGAGGAATATGAAAATATAAGAATGACGTTGCAGAAGCTTAGATACAATGAGCACCAGTGGTCTATATGTGTTGATTTAAAGATGGTAAACTTCTTACTAGGGCAGCAAAGTGGATATACTAAGTACCCTGGCTTCATATGTTTGTGGGATAGTAGGGCTAAAGAAGACCACTGGAAAAAGGTGGTATGGCCTGCTAGGGAAAATATGACTGTAGGTGCATCAAATATCATTAACAAACCACTGGTAGACAGGGGAAAAATTATTTTCCCACCACTCCACATCAAACTAGGACTGATGAAGCAATTTGTAAGAGCCCTAGACAAAGATGGTCAATGTTTCAAATATATTTGCAGATTTTTTCCAGGCTTGAGTATGGAGAAAATCAAAGCTGGAATCTTTAGCGGCCCTCAAATTCGCCAAATCATCAAGGATGAGCAGTTCCTATATACAATGACAGATATTGAAGCATTTACCTGGAAAAGTTTTGTCTTGGTTGTTCATAACTTTTTGGGCAACCATAAATCTCCCAACTATGAAGAAATCGTACAGAAAATGCTTTCAGACTTCAAAACATTGAAAGCTAATATGAGCATAAAAGATCACTTTCTACATAGTCACTTAGATCGGTTTCCCGATAATCTAGGAAGTTATAGTGAGGAACAAGGGGAGAGGTTCCATTAAGATATCAAGGTAATGGAAGAAAGATACCAAGGAAGATTGGATACACACATGATGGCTGACTATTGTTGGAGCCTTCAACGTGATTGTCCACATTCTCCACACAAAAGACAATCATACAGACACCGATTTTTAATGCATTAATTGTGATTTCATTGCACTGATTTGAATGTTTTGATCTATTAGCATTGTATGTACTTCCCCATAAACAATTTGATATATATATCTAGTGTTTTTTTTGTGAATTACGCTACAACCTAACATAAATTGTTGCTATTAATGTACTTTCGTGACCACCCTGTATCTCAAAAACTAGAGCCAATCTAGGAAAACGGAGGTCATATTCGAAATCAGGGCAACAAGTTACCTATAAAATGACCCCCAAATGTTTTTCCTCAAAATCTTTGTTGGTCAGTGTAATTAATAATTGTTTTCAAGTCATAGTTTTTAAATAAATATCAACATAGAATTTTTTATTTAACGGTATATAGTTTATGACATTTTAGTGCTGTCAAAATTGGCCTATTTTTTGCCCCAAAAAAGATGTTCCCGTAGCACAATCAACGGGGCTTTTTTTTTACGCTCATCCAGAGACTGTCTTGTTCCTTTATGCAAAATTTCAGCTATATACTATTTTTGTCCGAGTCAACTCGTAATTCTCTCCGACTGTAGCTTTTCGAGAAATGAGGCAAGGATACACAGCAATTAATACTTTTTGTTGTTTAATGAATATGCCTCTGGCGTGATTAAACGTGATTACCATAACATTAATAATAAACTTCACGTTGTTTACGTTGAAGCCTCTAGATAGACTACCAAAAAAGCCTAAGAGGACATACATAGGGAAAAATTTGGTGAAAGATATGATGAATCCTCAATTATCAATGTAGCTGTTAGTTTAGATGGTTTATGGCAGCGAAGAGGATACTCCTCAAAGAATGGTATAGTCACAGCAATATCTCATATAAATTGTATTGATGCTGCTGTCCAGACAAAAAGTTATTCTTTCAAGATATGGTTAAGAAAAGGTACTCCAGCTTAGAGATCTGGAAGATCATATAAAGCTACAAGATTAATCATAAGGGTAGCTCAGAAAGTATGAAATCTGTAGGTACAGTACAAATATTTAAGTGATCTGTTCAAGAGCTAAACTCAAGTACCTAACATACATTGGAGATAGAGATAACAAGTCTTCTATACGAGTTTGTGATACAAATCCATACCCAAAAGAAGTTATTGAGAAAGCAGAGTGCATTGGACATGCTTAGAAGAGAGTTATTGCAGACTACGAACGTTGCAAGAATGCTTAAAAGGTTATACATTATCAAAATGGAAAATACTTTAGTGGGAAAAGAAGATTAACTGATAAATGGATAAACTTTTGAAATAATTCTAACACTTCAGAAAAACATAAATATTCTCATATAATATTAAGTTTAAAATCTTTTCCCTCTTAAAGGGTACTATCACCTTAAGAACACTGGCTTGTAATTATTGTAGATTCATGTAAAATTAACGCAACAATAACAAAGACAATTAGATCATTTGTGTTGAAATTAAAATTAGATGCTTATTTTTAGATCTGCAACATGGTTGCATGCACGAGAGCAAAATGTGCATGATTGCATGCACGAGAGCAAAATGTGACACCTAATAACTTAGAGATTTTCACTCTAACAACTGCGTCATGGCTAATATTTACACATTCGCACTTGAAACTAGGTCTCACAAAGCAATCTGAAAAAGCATCATAAACTAGTGACTTTTTTATATAAATCTTGCGAAACCTCGACTGTCAATTCATGAAATCATGGCGTAACTGATTGCCCATAAATTTCAATAAGGATGAACTTATTTTTGCAGAGACGTCTCGAGGAGGTGGCGGCGGCGTCTAGCCTCCCTACGAAATTTTTAGTCGGCTTAATTGGATGTATAGTCGGCTAATGTCATACAACGAGGACCTTTATTTTTTATTTAAAGATCTTAGCAAAAAAAAATTTTGGAGAATTTGCTCGGCAAACACGCATTCTTTAACCCCCCTCCCCAACTTTTGAGATCTTTAAAGGGGTCGTCCATAAATTACGTCACGCAGTTTTTGACATTTTTAAACCCCCTCCCCCCACCGTAACGCATCAGTGACACTTTATTGACCCCCCCCCTTATATTGTGCAACAATTTTGTTCCCCTTTCCCCTAAGAAAAATTTTAAAGCTTTTTTAGAAGGGAAGCGTAGGGGGTGATGGTGCAAAATTTTACAAAATACAAAACGATTTAAATATGTCTATAATTCTCTGAGCTTCTTTGAGTTAATTAATTAGTACTTTTCAGTCTGTTTAATGTTATTTTTTCACCCCGATAGTTTCGTGTAAAATTAACATCGTTATCCTAAACATGATACCAGTTTTAAAAACCTATTTTCCCGATATATAATACCTGCAAAACATATATATAATAATATATTCTACATGCGAGAATATTTTATAAATACAACTTTGTAACGTAAGGACGGTCGAGTGGATTCTGCTCCTGGCTAGTTAACCGTGAGTTCCAGGTTCGCCTCTCATTATTGAATTTTTTGTTTTAGTGCACAAAATTGTTTTTTTTGTTGTTGCTGCACACTTTTGTGGACCAAATAAATAATGTTCTGCACTTGAACCATATAGATTCAAAGCGCAGAACGTGCACTACACATACAACCGTAACAGTCCGTTAAAATGCTGTAACCATTAACAGGTTGTAACGGAGTCAACACATCGACGAAGTAAGATTTAGGTTATTTTAAAATCAACTTGTAGATACATCAACTGAGGGTTTTGGTTTGGTCAGATACTCTGTTAATTAAAAGAACGTCTTCTTTAAAAAAATAAAAATTGTTGCGTCACACAATCGACTAACCCTTAAGCGTGACGTAATTTATGGACGACCCTTAAGTTATGAGCTAAACAAGAATAATTAGTTAAATCTCGAGATATCATTACGTACTATATACGTACGAGCTTTTACACAAATTTTATTGAAATTAAAAATCTTAAGTATGCGTGCGTTCTATTAATTCACTTTAGTGACACTACGGCCATGGTTGATCATGAAAAAGTTAATCGTAATATATTTTTAAAATTGTAATTTAATCTAGAACCTCTCGCACTAGTCAACGATTTGTATTAACCTTGAATAAGACTCTGCGAAGTTATAATAGTCAATTATTAAAAATATTTAACATTAAATAAAACTTCCTCAATATTATTTACAACGGTACTTCTATAATTATTTGAAATGAATCAAATTATACGTTAACGAGCATTAATTTAATCAATATAGTGAAGACAAAATCGCACAATTCAAAACGCGGAAATCTGACTTAACAAATCAAAGTAAAGAAACACAAAATTTTAAGGAAAATATGCCTGTGAAAGAAAAAGTGAGAAAAGATTGTTGTATAAAAACTTTTAAAATATTTCCTTCTATATATGCACTCACGATCACTAGTTACATATAAAACAAAAACAAAAAAAAAAACTTTCATTAATAGTTTTCAGTTGAAAAAAAAAAAAAAAGTAAAAAGGTATGGGTTAAACACCTAAATATAACGCCATAATAGGTAAACATTACATAATAGGTTACAATGAAAAAAATATACACGAGTCCGAATGTTTATTGACAAAATAGTTTATACAAGTTTAACGAAGACCTGAGTTTAATTTAGAAAAACTATTGAGTTATATTGAAAATGCGTTAAAAAAATGTTAAAGATTAATCGCAAAAAAGCCTTTGATTCTAATTATATCAATTAAGACATTACCTAACCTAGCTAATATATAAGAATCAGAAAATGAAACATCCCTCTCCCTCACCGCAAGAACAAAAACAATATTCGTGTTGCTCTAATTTTATAAAGATTTTTGATACTTCTTGTAACAACTTCATCAGTAACAGTTATCGTTGGCTAGACGTAAAAATGATCACAGCTTTTGTTTCAAGCAATAAAACTGAACTTCGATAAGTGAAGCCATTAGGTGAATGCATTTGGTGGATGTTTTAATAAAAATAACCACTCACTTATATACAATTGGTTTTTTTTACGAAGAAATACCAATACTGACAACATAATGATTTGTATTAAAACTGTTCAGAATTAACTTTCTTCGCTATGTTCCTGATCCCTAAATAGAATAATTTAATAGAACATTACTGACCGGGACAATTAAAAATTATAGTATATTTAGAAGTACAGATTAGATTGCTAAGGTGATGTAAAATGCATCATTGGAGAAACGTGTACATATCCTTTTGTAATAAATTGTTTAGAAAAGATTGTGTTGATAGGGATGTGGTTGCATGTTTATTATAAGGTGAAAATAAAAACTTATAAACAAGCGGAAAAACACTTAAAACATTCCCCCCTTAACATCACATATAATACCTTGACTAAAAATTAGTCAATGACCACCCTTTGATCCTTTCCGCTTCAGCTTATCATCAGTTTGTGGTGTGACAGACGTGGCAGTTCCCCCCGGGGCACCTACGTACATATTACTACCACTAACCGTGGTTAGATGCTGCGCAGCCTTTTGCTTCAACATGCTCCAATCAAAAACATAATCATATTGGTGATTTAGAGTGCGGAACAAAATACGAAATAACTGTCGAAGATACATATAATCTGGCATCTCTTCAAATCGAAGACCACGACAATAGTTTAAATACATTGCAAACTCGGCAGGAAAACCCTATAAAAAAAAAAAGAAAATTATGAAAAAACAAAACAAATTAAAATTTTAATGGTAAAAACCCAAGAAAATATAACCTATGTTCAACAGCAAATAGAATAAAATTACCCGGCACAAAACTTCTATAGGGGTGGACATTTTTTTTTCACTGATCTTTTCATACTTCTGTTTTTTTGTTGCAGCCTACATTTTCAAATAAAAAAAACTGATAGCTATAAATACAATCAATTTTAAAGGTCGATAAAATTAGTTTTTGATCTTATTGGGTAAGAAAATCTTGACAAGCATAGTATAAAAACTCCTACTCGCAGGCCTTGCCATGGTAAACTTGACCGATTAAAATACATAAGAACATAACCTAGTGATTCCATATCATCACGTCGCCTGAACAATAAAATAAAAGTATAACAAAATATATGCTACCTGAAACACAAAAAATTAAATTATTAAAGCTTTATTTAGACATAAAAAATAATTAAAAATTTAACGTGATTTTATAGGTACAATTTAATCATATAAAAACTTTAAACAAATATTTTATCGAAATTTTTCAAAAATCTACGTAATTTTTCTATAATGGTTATAAAAATTTAAAAATTAGTATCTAATAATGATATACACAAGAAAACAAGAAATTAATGGTCAATCAAAATTGAGTGCGAATAATTTCAGTTTTTGAAATAATTTCAGCTATTTATTACCAACTATTCAATCTTCATATGACATGCTTCTCAGCATATTCAAAAAAAATCAGAATGATACTAGACGCATATACACTAGTTTTATAATCTTGTACTGTAAGAAGAACAATTACTTTTCATTTGTTTTATAGATTGAATAATCATCTGATTATTAACTAAACAAAAATGAATGTCAATAACGATACAATTACTGACAGTAAAGATAATAATATATTGCAATAATATATCTTCAGAAGATGAGAACCCTGTAATCACTCTAAAAAAGAATAATATTTGGGCTAAATGCAACAATCTAAAACTGTTGAAGGTTTCTTAAAAACAAGAACTGAAATGTAGAAATAATGAAAAAATTTTATGGCCAAAGATAGCAGGAAATATATAGTGATATGCTAAACCGCACAAATGAAACAAAATTTCAGCATAAATATAGCATATGGCAAAATACTTAAAAAGTTAGTCTAAAAAGTTTGTGTTTAAGTAAGAATAAAACTATACAGTTCAAATAAAAGAAGTACTGATGTTAATTTAATAATTAAGCAACATTTTAAAGCACATAAATGACATAATTTTAATTTGAGCACATAAATGACATAATTTTAAATTGTATATAAATAACACTGACTAGAAACAAGTAAACCCCCAGTTGATTAACACAGTAAGGTTTAAATCTATAAATAAAAATTTAACTAAAGATGGTAAGAATGTTCATAAAACAAGTTACAATATGGAGTCAAATTAAAGTATAAAACATAACAAAACCTCGGTTCACCTAGATGTAGCACATTATCAATTAGCGATGAATATATATTTTGTTTTTTTAAAATAAAAAACAAAAGCAAAAAAAAAAAAAAAATCATAACATCCACTGATTCACAAAATTGTTTTTCTTAAAGTCTGGTGGTTGTGCCTAAAATTTTGTTATAATTTAGTTTAGTTATATTTATAACTTTATTTTGTTTAATAAGTGAACAAATAAGTAACTTGTTAAAATACTCTTTGAATCTAAATAGTCTCTGCACTAAGTCTTCAGAATTTATGATAATATATTTAACATCTATTATTTTTGTTATTATCTTCCAAGGACTCTTTTGTTCAACAGTACTTTTAAATGATTAAAGCACTTTTGATGATATATGTGGTCAAGACTTGCGATTAGAAACCACCTCTATAGTGCTCAGTATATAAAAGATATTCAATGTAGTTTGATATACTTGGCTTATTTTGGACATCTAAAACCACAACTTATGTAGATTAAAATTTATTTCTTATCTTATTAACTAACTTTTAAGGATTAAAGTTAAAAGTGAAATATTGAAATAATTTTTATGAAAAACCATGGTTTAAAAATAAAATACTCACGATTGCTCTATACCCAAATGAGCATTTATACTTGCATATCTTGCAGTTCCTGTTAAGTTCTTATCTTCTCTGTAAGGAATATGTGTCTTAGTATGACTGTCTCTATATTTTTTTGCAAGCCCAAAATCAATAAGATAAACCTAGTGAAATATATTATTAAAAAAACTTAAGTAAAAAAGGATACTACTTTTAGTACAAGATATTTATTATATTCAAATAACATGTATACAAATCTCTTTCCAGTAATGTTTTTCCTACATAACTATTTTCTGCTTAAACCTTAAGTCAATACTACTAAAGCCAACACATAAGGCTATTTTGGTATTACATCCACAGTGATACTTTATGTGCAACTAAATACACACACATATTAAACATCTAACTTTTTATGTGAAAAATATATAAACTTTGATTTCAAAGTAACTTAAAATCATTAATTTAATTCAACTTTTAAAGTGGACCCTAATCAAACTGGGTCCCATTTATCAGCCAAATGTTTTTGTTAAAAGTATATCAACTTAGATCTCAGAACTTTATAGAGATTTAAAAATAATTTTTTTTTAAATAATAAAGAAGATTAATACAAAACTTATACCTTGTTACAGTGTCTACCGATGCCCATTAGAAAATTGTCAGGCTTAATATCTCGATGAATAAAATTCTTGTTTTGTACATATTCAATTCTGCCTATCATCTAAGTAAAAGAAAAATTAAATATATATATACTGAATGACAAAGCACTTACATAACACACTCAACAAAATGTACCTGGTCTGCTAACATCAAAACAGTTTTCATTGTGAAACGCCTTGAACAAAAGTTAAATAAATCTTCAAGACTTGGACCCAAGAGATCAAGTACTAAGACATTGTAATCTTTTTCTTGACCAAACCATCTATTCAATAATAAAATATATTCTATAATAAATAATAAGTAAATTTATATTAACATATCGTCTTCTTTTTATAAAAAAAAATTAACTTGAACCAAAATAGTTTATTACTTAATACCTAACATGAGGTATTCCAACACCTCCTTGCAAAAGTCGATAAACTTTTGATTCATAGAGTAGCTGGGGATGACGAGCTCTAATATTTTCTAACTTAACAGCAACTTCCTAAATAATTTATTTGTTTTTACAATGTATAATTTTTAACAGAATTGGAAAAAAAAGCATGATTTTTTAATATCAAAAGTTTTTTATTTAAATCAGATTTTTATTTTTTGCCAAGAGTTGGAAAATTGAACATAAAAAATCTGTAAAAAGTAGAATGAGATTGGAAAAAGTGATCATAATCACCTCTGTGATTAAGATATTTTAACTACTAATTTGTAATCTATCGCAAAACAGTTTATAAACTATAACTAATGTTAATAAAATTAACATTAGTTAATTTTATTTTAAAATTAACTAAATTGTTTTATTAGTGGTAACAATTTTTTTTAAGGTGAAGGGAGTAGTAGCAAAAGGCGAAGTAGCAAAAAAAAAAAAAGAATTGGACAGGGCAAGGTGATCTTGAAAAAAAAAGTCTTTCCGAACTCTAAAATTTTGCCAAATTATTGAAAGTAAGTTAATAAATATAATAATAAATAAATAAAAATATTTAAAATTATCTTCCATTGTTTTCTTCACTTTATTGTCATTTATTAAAATTATGTGTGTTTCTCTGTGCGTGTTTATATATATATATATATATATATATATATATATATATATATATATATATATATAGTGATTTCACCGGTTTTCCGTTTCAAAAACCGGATAACAGTTCTCATCAATTTGCGGTTAACCGACTATTCGGTAAATTAGTAACGCTTTCTGAATACAGGATCTTCTAAATTTCAACGAACGTAGCGTTTTAAACTAATTTTTTAAAAATTAATGTTAAAGTGTACATTTTCAAGACAGTTAGTGAATACAGTCCTATATTATATATTTATAACAAAACATGGAAAAAGATATATATTTTTTATATTATAATATAATATACCTTTTTAATTATATAATTAAAAAAGGTAGGAATAATGTACAAGTATAGTTTAAATGTTTTAATATCAGCGGATGTTTTAAAATCATTCTCTCATATAAAAACATTTGATTTGGAAAAATGAGATGTTATGAAGTAAATTTTTTTAGCGTGTATTTTAAAAACTTATTGTTATGCGGACATAGATGGAAACATAGATAAAATTGAATGTTCTCAAAACAACTTGTTGCGTAAAGATAATATAAAGAATATTTGCTAACACTAAAATACCGCCAAATCTAAGAATAAACAAATTCTATTGGTTCAAAAAATACGCTGAATAAGCGAATTAGAGTTCCAGAATATTCTGAAAAATTTTTCTTAAAAATGTATTGCTTGAGTTGTAAAAGTAATAAATAAATCTTTGAGATTTCTATTGTAAATTGTTTTAAGAATATATTATTAAACAAAACTGATTAAATTAACATTTGTCAAACAATAACCGTCATAATTACGATGTTACTTTCTATACAATTTCGTAAAAGTTTCAAGTCGGTTTTTATTATTCTAAAATAGATATTTGATATTTGAACAAAATCCGGTTAACCGCAAAACCGGCGAAATCACTATATATATATATATATATATATATATATATATATATATATATATATATATATATATATATATATATATATATATATATATATATATATATATATATATATATATATATAAGGCTTGGACAGGAATGGCATGCGATCATACTCTGTAACTGACCACGCTAATATTTTTTTTTTCTTAAAACTTGACCACAGCTATTTTGATGTTTTAATTTAAATGCAATAAAAAAGTGTTAGGTTAACTTTTAATCGTTGATCTTTTATAAAGTTTTTATTTTTTGCAAAGGCTTTAAATAAAACCATAAAAAATAATTATAATGATTGTTTACACAAACACGTAAATTAATGTGTAAATTAAAGAAAAATGTTATATATAAATTTTTTTAATGTAGGCATGTATTTTTTACGATAAATTTTAATGTTTGAAACTATTTTTCAATGTCTTCCTAAAAAATTTTTAAACAATTATTTTTAGAAAAAATTTCAAAAATAAGTTCAAGACCTTTTGTGACTAATAGCTTTTACACATTTTATGTAAATTATACAAGAATATAAAATAACTTCCTTTACTTGTTGATTCCTGAATTTTGTTGATTAATGGAAAAGTTTTGAAGCATTTTGTAAATTTCATACAATTAATTTTTATAATTAAACTTACGTCTTTTAAACATTTTATTTTTTTAAGAATTTTTTTTTTTTTTAATTCAATTATGATAGGAATAAATGAATGAAAAATATTTTATATTAATTTTTAAGTTTGTTACTTAAAGCGCTCATTAATAAAGTTGTAACGCTCAAATTAAAATTAAATTAAGTTGCTTGTTGGCAGTTTATTTTATTTAAACCGCAGGCGCATTTCATTTATTAATTTTTTTCCCTGTTTTTACAAATAAAAAAGTCGAAAACCTTTTTTTAAACTAGACTTATTAAAGAATGAAATTATTAAAAATTACTATTTAAAAAAGACTAAGTTATTTTTTTAAATTTTTTTTTTTTTTTTTTGCAACTTTTTAAAAAATTTGATAAAATTTGTTAATTTATTAAATGATCTTTAGTACTAATTTATTACTTAATTTAAAAGCGTTTTGCATAACTTTAATAAAACATTTAAAAAGATAAGTTTTGATAACATTTATTTCAAACGTAATTAAAAACGTAAAAAAAGTTTTGCTTAGAGTTTAAGTTTTTAATTTTTAAGTGCTTATATAAATTCTTTTTCTTAAGGAATTTTTTGTTTGTTTCTTTTTTCCTTAAAATTTTAATAAAACTTTTTTCCTAGTTTAAATTTAGCTTAGCGTTTTAACATTCAAAGCATTTCTGAAATGTTATTATCATCATAACATATAAACAATCATGGTCAAGTTGTCAAAAAATAAAGTCATTTGCGTGGTCAGTAATAGCGCTCGATTGCACGCCATTTCTGTCCAAGTCTGATATATATATATATATATATATATATATATATATATATATATATATATATATATATATATATATATATATATATATATATATATTGGTGTAGGAAGGTTTTTAAATGTTTGAAATAATCAACTTATAAACAACAAAAATATTCTAAATTTTTTTACATTCATATGTATGACAAAAAGATTCTTTTTTAAAAAAAAATTACTGTGATAGAAGAATGGGAATCAAAAACCCTAAAATCTTATAATATATATATACAATAATTAAAATAGTTCAATTAGTCAAAATTGATAAAAAAAAAGTAGCTTAATTGGAAAATTTTATATAGTGGGCATTTAGTGCAACATTGGCTGGTTGCCAGCGTTGGCCCTGAATTGAAGCACTGGCCTGCGTATACCGGCTTGTTGCAAAACCAATGGGCAACCCGGTGCTAGCACAGCACTGGCCTGCCAAGCCTGGTACAGCTTGGGAGCCAAGCCTTGTAAATTATGAGGTTGCATTACAGACAATTGTTAGAAATTGTCTGTAATTTCAAAATCAAAAAACAATAAACATTCTATTATTTAATGTTATGTATACTTTTTGGTTAATTAGATAAGAAGTAAATCCTGTAGTTTTTTTTTTTTGTATCCACTTATGCCCAATGGTGACATGTTGCCAGGTAAAAAAAACATAGTTGGGATAAAGCAAAGTTAATGAAACTTGAATCTAATTTATCATAAGTTCCATGTAATTTTAAAAGAAATTGAACACTTTTAAAACATGATGGGTTTTGCTGGGTTAATTTATTGTATTATATTCAACACAAAATTTTGTTGCACTCACCTGGAAAAAAATTTCTTTATTTATTAAATTCTTTTTTTAATTCATTACTTTTGTTATTCAAGTAATATACAACAAATTTTAGATAAAAAACATACTTTATGGACTTTGTTATAATTTAAACAATCAAAACTCTACCTCTCCATTTGTAAGATTTAAAGCAAGATAAATGTCTCCAAAAGACCCACTTCCAATTTTTCTGATCAATTTATATCGACCACCAACAACAAATTCTGATTTTGTTGTAACTGCAGCTGCAGCCATTTTATTTTCTTTACTAAAAATCAATCAACAGATTTAATACAGCTAAATAACAACTTTTTTGTTAAATTTTCAAAATAAAAATTACCTGAACAAAGTTTTTGATAACTAGTGCATGGTGGAATTTTTGAAAACTAGAGCATTGGTTTTGTTTCTTAAATTTAAAATTTATCTAAAAATTTATTTAAAAAAAAATCATAATTAAAGAAGTTATAAGAAATTAAAAACAACAATTATTTGAAAATAAAAATAAGTAAACTGTGTTACTAATTATATTAGAAATATTGTTTGCTCAAATTTGATGATTTTTATGTTAAAACATCACCATTTATAAATATTTTAATAATAAATGTAATACTTTTGCTAAAAATAATTTATTTCATGAATTAAATAAAAAACTTAATATTTTTATATTCCATATATTTTAACTTATAGCATTCTTCTACTCTAACCAAGACTATTATCATATTTTTGAGACTTATTTTCGAATAGTTTTATCAAGAACCGTACACTGGATAGTTAACACAAGGCTGATGACTATCCTCTGTCATTGCCAATCCAGAGAGGCTCATTAAGATAACTTTAAACAAAAGATTTCAAAGTAATTTAAAAACTAAAAACTTGAAATATTGTAAATAAAGTTTTTATAATATTTTTTTTTTTACTTAACATGAACTCTGGTATTGTGGTCTAATCTCCTCCGGCTAATTGCCATATAGAGGCCACTTTACCAGGGGTCCACAAAGACTAGTTGAGCTCCCGAAGGAGCATCATACCTGCCATACGGACAGAGAGTAAGGTGAGTTTGGGAAGAACGAAGGATATGTTAGAGTGAAAGATAGTAGTCGAGTTAAAAAAATAGCACAGAGTAAGTAGACAGGATTGCACAAGATGCCAGAGGGTGCAATACATTCTGTTAGTTAGGTTACCTAACTAATGTATGCCGACAAAGTTGTGATTGGAGTTCACATTACATGAACTCTTCCTTAACTTTCTTTGTCGTCCAAGGGACACATAAAAATATTGTGCTTGTGGGTTGCTTTTTTTTTAAATACTTTCTTTTTTTTTAAAAAACTTTTTTTTAAATAAAATTGAAAAATAAAACTTACAATATAATTTTGTCTAATATTAATATAAAAATATATTACTTATGTGGGAGGACGAGGGTGGCAATGCAAATAAAATATTTATACTATATCTTATTTTACTTTTATATAAAAAAATTTTATCCTTTAAAAAAATATATTCCGCTCCTTTAATCCGGGAGAGGCTTAATAAGCGCGAATTAGCATAATTGCGAACTAGCATGAGTGAAATAACAATTTGCATTATGTCAATATTTGCAATTTTATCTGGCGCACTTATGCCAGTTCGCACTTTAATCCGGGAGGCTTAATAAGCGCGAATTGGCATAAGTGCGAACTAGCATGAGTGCGATGCGTTGTAAAGACTGGCATAAGTGCAAATTGGCATAAGAGCGAAATAACAATTTGCATTATGCCAATATTTGTAATTTTATTTGGCGCACTGATGCCACTTCGAAATTATACCAATGTTTGCAAATTCTTTTAGCTCACTTATCCAGTTGGCTCTTGTGCCAGTTTTTGTAACTGCTTTGCACTTATGCCAATTTACATATATGCCAGTTCGTACTTACACCATTTGCACATTCAGCTCGATTTAATTTCAAATGTCTTGACATTGCTAAATATCGTGACTCTCTGTAAAGATTAAAAAGTAGAAAACAAACATTTGCTAAAAAATTTAATATTTTATAATCTTCTCTGTCACTTAATACGACCTTTACCTCAACTTTCTTTTTCATACAAAAATTCCCCACAAAATTGCTTGCGAGTTTGTTAAGAATATGCATAATAATCTTTTAACAAATCTTTTCATTTTTAAAATAGGCTAATATTGCTTGTAGGTTGGAAATTTTTTTTTTTAATATACTGTTCTCTTTTAAAAATAATTTTTTTTAGTTTTTAAAATCGGCTAAGATTGCTTGTGGGTTTGTATTTCTTTTCAAATCTTTTTTTTAATATTTTTTTTTTTGAAAAATTATTTTTCTAATAAAATTGAAAAAGTAACTTACAAAGTTATGTTTAATACAAACTTACAAACTTTGTTTAATATTAAAATAAAAATATAATACATCTGTGGGAGGACGCGGGTTGCAATGCAAATGAAATATTTGTACTTTATGTTAATTTACTTTTATATAAAAAAATTTATTCTTTTAAAAGAAAAATATTCCGCTCCTTTAATCAGCAAATATTCTTTAGGATAAAAAGCTTGACTTAATTACAAATGTCTAGACAAACGCATCGCTAAATATCGTAACTCTCTGTAAAGACTAAAAAGTAGAAAAGAAAATACAGCAAAAACATTTGCTAAAAACATAATCTTTTTGTACTAAAAAGTAGAAAAATAATTTTTTAATTTAAATTTAATAGTTCCGTAAACTAAAGATTGACAGGTATTTTTAAATAAACCTTGCGCAGACCTGTCAATCTTTATTTACGAAACTATTAAATTTAAATTAAAAAGTTTATTTTCTACTTTTTAGTACAAAAAAATTATGTTTTTAGCAAATGTTTTTGCTATATTTTATTTAGAGAAATGTTTTATTTCCAGTTACTGCCCATACCTGAACAAATGTAACTCAAAACTAACATTGTCTAAATAAATATTGACACGGTTGCTTGAATTTTTTCCTAAGATTAATTTAATTTTTTTAATTCTTTTTTGTTTCGCTCATTTACGTTGTATTAAAATGATAGATGACTTTTTCTTCTGAAGTTATAGAATATTTTTTATTCAATACTTTAATAAAAAAAGTTAATTCAAAAAATGACCACAGAATTATAAATTGTTTTGACAACTTGACCACAACTTTGAATATTTCAAAAACACACTGAATATAAAAGATTTTTAGAAATAACATCAAAACTTTTATCTTAATTGTTTTTATAAAACATTTAAAATAAAATTCAAATTAAGTAAAAAATTATCAATATTTATTTTTGTTTTAAATATTAATGAAATTTGTATACAATTTTTTAAATTAAAATTAAAGAAGTTATATAAGTATTTATTATAATATTAAAAAAAGATAATATACTCAAAAAGATTTTGTTAAAAAAAAAAAATGTTTCTGAAAGCTGTTATAATTTAACAAATTCAATCTTTGCTAAAGTTTTTATATTATTAAAATGCTGTTAAATAAAAGTAAAAAATCACTGCTAGTTGAACTTTTTCTTATAACTTTTCTGACAAAAGAAAAAACTATTTTTATCATTCCGCTGAAATTAAAATTATTTATATTTTTTCTTTTATATTACTAAAAAGAGTTTCTAAGAATCCTTTTTTATTTACTTTATTTGCCTAACAAAGGATTTCAAAAATTTAATTATTTTTCCTTTATCATGTTTTTCTTTCCACATGTTTAAAAAAATGAATCTTAATACAAAGCATGAAATGGTTTTAAAAAATGTTTAGTTTTTTGTTTTTTTTAATGCGTAATTAAAAAACTAGCATGCATTTATTTGAAAACTTACTATTTTTAAACCAGTTAAAAAAACATAATTTCAATTAAATGTGCATAGTTATTAATTAATCATCAGAACTTGTTAATTTACTTTAAAGAATTTTCTATATTAATAAAACACATTATTAAAGATAAAAGATTCAATTTTTTTATTCCAAGCATGACTTTTTTATTCCAAACTTGATTTAAATTATCTTAGTGTCTTGTATTAAAAACATGAAATTATCAAGTTTAAATTATCTTAAGATAATTTAAACTTGATTTAAATTATCTTAGTTAAGAGGTATTTTTATTGTATTATTTAAAATGAGCGTTAACCAAAATTTTTGAAAAGTATCAACTTTTTTTTTTATTCTGTACTTTTAAAAAATGTATATATTTTTTACTCTTTTTTTTCTTCAATAAATTTGCCACTTGTCAAATTATTTACTTTAGCAACGCCTTTAGAAACCATAATTTCAACATTGTAATAGAACATTATGGTTTAGAATTTAGAGTCTAAAAATGTTTTGCATCTAACTTAAAACCTATTCTTTAATCAAACTTTATTTAAAAAATAATAATTTGTTGTAGTTTAACATTAGAAAAATGAGAACTTTTTTTTAAAATGTAAAAACCAACATAAATTTTGCAAGCTGAATTTAATCATTTTTCATTTTTATCTTTGTGAAATGATATCTTGAGTTATCTTTTTTGGAACATATTGAATCAGGATATTTTAAGGATCAAATAGATTGATTTGAGTGAAGTATTTAAAGTTTCTTTGACTCCTAGGTCCAATAACCATTAGAAACAGTTTTTCATGTCATCATAGCAACTGTTGACATGAAGAAAAATCTCTTGTTCAAATTAATTCTTTTTCTGTGGTTATTTTAGTTCAAAAAGATTTTGAAATTTATGATCTAGAGATGACCTTTCTAAACGTCTTTATTGATTTGGTTTCCATGGTTACAGTGCCCAAAGCACCGTAACCATGGAAGATGTAAAAGAATTCTATGGTGAGTAACTTCATAAAAAGTATAAACACTTTTTATGAAGTTACTCACCATAGAATTCTTTTACATCCCTGATACATAATTTCATTTCTGTTTAAAAGTTTTAATGGTTTGCCATTAATTTTTTGAAAATTGTAACTTTTCTTTTTCTTCGTTAACGCCCACCTCTAGTCTAAATACGCTTTTTCTACATTTTTAAGTTCAACTTTTCAAATTAAGTTAACAGCAATGGCCAAATTGTCAAAACAAAGCATTGTTTGCACGGTCATATAATAGCGTGCAATTGCATGCTTTCCTGACCAAGACTCGTATATGTTATTTTATAAAATCCTGATCAAGACTCGTTTAGCAGTTTATATGAGTCTTGGTCAGGATTTTATAAAATAACACTTTATTTAAAACTTTTTTAAATAAAAAATATTTTTAGGGGTTGCTCAAAATCCTTAAACATTTGATCATGATATATTTTTGAAAAACTTTTTTCAATAATATCAGGGACCTAATAAATGTTTTAAGTGACCCCTCATTGATCAAACTAGAAGGTCGATTCTGCTGTATGCAAAACAGTGAATCAACAACATTCAGTAGTGATTTGGTGTTATTTTTGAATAAAAGATAGGGCCTCT